AGTCTCAGTTCGCGATTCTAAAAAATGTCTTGGCAGTCAATCAGGTCAGTTCACTACCTCCAGACTGACAGTTTGAACCGCAAAGATGAACTGACAACTGACTGATTGACTGATAGCAACTCTGCAACGTCGTGCTTGTAGCTCTGTGCAGCTGCAGACACGCCCTCGGCGACGGTCATGGTAGACCCGAACAGAACGCCACGATTGATGGTCAGCGTCGCATAGAGCCATCCTGGAGGCAATATGATAATCTCACCAGGTAGTGTAACCACGAATCGTCCATTAATCAGCGCCTTTTCGCATCGAGCGAATCGCTGACCGACTGCGCTCTCCTTTTCGAACACATGTCGATTGCCCTGTGCTGGATAAAGAACCCACAGCTTCATCTGGTGGTTGTCCATGGCGGTAATGCCCAAGGTGCCTCTATCTGCTTCCCGTCAGCAACGGATGCATCTACACTAGAGGGCGGCAGGCACCTTCGCGAATGTCAACTACTGCCCCCTTCATGCAGATGTCTGCAGAGACTGCATAAAGATTCGTGCTCGGGGACTCGTGCACATGGTACCTCGCTGCTACTTCTGGTGGTGGGTGCAGCGAGAATTGAGGCAGAGGTATGTTTATCGCATACTTAGGGAGACCCTCACAGTTCCAGCCGATAAAGTCCGTGATATATTTCTCCTGGTACGGTATGGGCGCCCTGTTGTTATGCCCTTGGTAGATGGTGCTTCTACCAAGGTCTGTAATTGCGGCGCCTGACACATCGTCCGGGTCAAGATCGGGCTCGGCAGTTTCGAGATCGAACAACTGAGGTATACTGGTGTCCTTTCGAAAGCATCCGAGCGGCTTGGATCGGCCACTCTCGAGCGCGGCCACGAAAGGTTCTATGTCAAGTTGAATCCCCAGATAATCAGATTTGAGTAACTCGACCAGGGCGACTGAATTATCTCTGATGGATCGTAGATGTTCTGCGAGGGCGAGTTCATCGTTCTGAATGGACTGAGAGCACAGGAGACGGCTTGCGCTGCCTTCGGAGGCGGAAGATCCATATCTGTCCTCGTTGAAATTGGTCGCTTCGATCTTGTCGGAAAGGCAATTGTTTATCTGCGGCTGCCTTCCAGGAGTGAGCGTGTGATCTTCGTCATGCTGAGTTTCTTCGTTCTGGTCATGAGGCTTGAAAAAGCAAGTGCTGTGTCCGCATTTCAGACGAAGGCTACCATGGCAGGGTTCCTCAGTGAGATGGCGTATGAAACTTTTGACGGCATCGAGAGTGACTTCACACAGTACGCAGTTGGGTCTGGGCACGTCATCTTCGTGCGTTTCCGCCATATATGTGATAAGTGTGTCGGTGCGGTCCAGGTGCGGTCAAAATAAGGATAGGGCGAGAGCAAGATATAATATTGAACAAAAGAGGCTTCTCGAGCTTATGCTGCTGGCAGGATGCCTATGCTCTAATTACATCTGCCGGCGCATATGCGGACTACCGTCAGTACTAGACACAGCAGTGTGATGCTTCGACTTAGATCTGGAACTTGTTTCTCTACGCTTTCATGTAAATGTAGTTTCCGCTCCTTTCGTACTGCCTGGCTATCATCTCACACGGTCTGTGGTATCAACTGGTGAGCGCTGACTCAAGGTTTCTTCAGTTCTGGAAGACGTTCACAGTAAGCGTCTGACGTGAGTTGGCTTGGATACATCATTGTCTCCATATAAAAGATACCATTGACAAGATTTAGCGCTCTTTCATCACGATCGTCATCAGGCGAAAGAGACTTGGTATTGAGACGAAACATAGATTGTGTGGAGGGACCAGGAGATGCAAGTGCATGACAGTCTGCCTGCTTACTGATCTAGCCTGCTGGAGCCAGTTGATGTTGGCTATTGTCCGTAGTCAGATGCCAAGTCAGCCACATGAAGCCCTACTCTAGTCCCTTCATCGCACGACAGAGACATCACCAGAGCTTGACGCATAGATTGCCCTGGTTTAGTGTAAGGTACGGCTTCTGCCCTGTCATATCTGCGCAGCGCTGCCAGTGACCAGGCAGGCCCGGCTTTCCTCGTGTAGCCTAGTGCCGATCGGTAGAATTCTTCATCATGCACATACAACTGAGGTTACCGGTTTGCTTAGACTCGCACACAGTAAGACGTGCATGTCGCGCCTCGCTTCCGTCATTCACTCGTTCTGACCCTGGGCCTTGGCACTTGCGCTAGCTTCAAATCGCAGTGGAATCAGATGCAGCCACTTGGGGGTAGCCTAGAGGCAGATTTGTGTAGGATTGCACCCTCGGTGTGTGATAGGGAATGGTGGAGTACGACGTTGAGTATGCCACTGCATCTGGTGCTGAGTGTGCCGATGGATACGACGCTATGCAGAAGAGAGGCGGCGGGCTGGTGGAAAGCTGGCATGTGTACTGATGCGAGAACATGCGATCCTCGGCAGGTGGGGTATACGAGGATTTCGAAGATGACGGAGATGGAAAATCCTGGCGTGAGAATCGCTGTGGTGGCTTCAGCTCAGCAAGCTTATGCTCAGCTGAAGCAGAGCTGGAGGCAGCACGACGCTCCTGCAACCTGATGGGTATGTTGTTCCGAGGGGCACGAGGCGTGGTAGCACAAGAACTCACTGACTCTTCGAGCCTCTTCTTGAGCTTCTTGCGGTAGTTGCGTTGGGCAATGCGGTTCTGTACCCGCCTGCGCTCAGCGAGATCTGAAATCTTGGTCCAATCTTCGCCGGGGTTTGCTGAAACAGAGAAGGCTGAGGGGATGCGCGAGTATCTTGTGGTGATGGGAGCCGGATTGGCATATGAATGGGCAGTTTGTTTGTGCATAGTGATGGTACAGTTGGGAGACATGTACACAGGAAAGGATGAGAATTGGACAAGTTTTATAGGGCAGGGTGTATAGTCATCAGTGAGATGACGAGGGAATCAGTTTGGCACTCTGGAATGACTGTACATTTGTCTTCCCGTCAGTCTTGCGTCGGCAATTCTTGTGTTGACCACTGGTGCTGCGCACATCGAATTCAGCCTCGCATGTGTGTTGCTGCTGTGTGATAGAAACATAGCACTGCAGGTGTCGCTCCATACGTTTCCTACCTAACGGACCTAAATCATTGACCCCCAACTCTTCTGTAGAACTAGCCTGCTTCTCAGTTGTGGGCTACCGCTAACGAGGAGAAAGTGTACCATAAGTCCTTGCCTCCAGGCTGGCTTACCTGATTTCGTGTATGCTGTATCTAACAGAAACCTTGTCTTCATGTGTTCACTACCATTATCACATCACTATATCCGTACCCTTTCGACTGATACTATGTGAAAACGCGATGGGAATAACTCTGAGCCACCGACACAGGCAAATGCAAACACAAATGAGTGCGTTCCATCACCAGACCAACAGGCAATCTCAGCAACACTATTGTGCAAAGAGATTCGAGATCTGGAAGAATAGGCTCAAGGCCCTGGAAGTAGCGATGAGGGTGAGACACCAACGAAGATTCGATTTGAAGCTCAATTAGGTACAATCAATCTCAATCAATCTATCCCGTATGATCTGCGAATCTCGTGGTACGATCCCATCCGCCACTAAAAGTTGAACTCAATTTGCAGCAGAAAGATTACATGGAAGCCTAGGACTAGATCACAGGACCACTTTGCAGGCATGGTTGACGCGTCTGGCTGTCTGAGACCTCAGATCATATGTTCGTACATGTGGGGAACAATACAGTCATATATGAGACCATCTACTACTACTACTACTACTACTACTACTACTACTACTACTACTACTACTACTACTACTACTACTACTACTACTACTACTACTACTACTCCCCCTGCTGCTGCTGCTGCTACTACCCTACGCTCACATGGCGTGGCACTATCAGTCAAACTAACTATCTACCTGCCTTCGCTTCCGATTCATGTCTAATGACTCGTTCCTCAGGCACGATACCTCTTGAGATATATATTCAGGTTATCATCGCTGCACTTCTTCTACGCACTGCAGTAGTGCACACGACCTTCTCTTCAGATATGTTCTAATCCTCAGCATGACAACCTCATCTTGACTCGCTTGCGACCTCGTCTGATCTGTTTCGTCTCCAGCACGCGGACATGACTATGCTGTTCTACGTAGCTTTTGATATCTATACCCGATTTTGCAGCAGCTATCTGCTCGGACGCCAGCCTTCACATAAGCGCTCTCGACGATGCTGACCTTGGGTCTATACTCACAGCGCGCTCATCCGTCATTGGACTTGAACACATACTGATGGGTTCGTGCCTACTGCAACGGTGCTAGTTACAATACCACTTTCGGTCCATCATCTTCAACGGCAGTAGCAGGGTATCTACTCTGGATGCATAACTTCGGCAAGCGTTCAGATGTCAATCGACTGGAAAGACGCGATGGTAGCTCGGTAGAAGCTGATTGAGTTCATCAAGGATCTCAAGACCATTCCAGTAACGACGGACGGGCCTTTGTATGGATAGCTACTCTCAGACCGCGAGAGACGCGAGGAACAGAATCGATATGCCAAGCAGGTAACAAGGGTTGAACAGAGGCAATCCTTCCACTGCTTACTGTTCATGACCCTCGGCAATCACACAGTGCAGGGTTTTGCTCACGCCTTCTGGCTCTACCGGGAAGGTAAAGTGGGTTTTCACACGGAGATTGGAATGATTCAAAGGGTTGATATCTTAGACGAATTACTCAACTGTTTACCATAGCCTACCGTTCGCGTTCATTTGCACTGTGAACACAGCACATTTGCTCGGTACGGCTGCAGGATCTGGAGGATTTGTCGCAATTGCTAGTCGAACTCTTTGTGCAGGTGCAATGCGACGGGACCGGAAAGTGACAGTATGAACGAGCAGATATCCAGACGACCTTCAAGACCCTACAGCATGCTGAAGTGCCCAACTTGTGCTTCTTTCCAGTGCTTAGTGGTTCCGTGCACACGACTGGCACGACTGTGTGACTCTAGACATATTGTTTGTGAATTATGGCCCATGTCGTGGGTGAACTGCATTTCGCGATGTGATTTTCAGAGGAAGACATGCACTTTTTGTTGATTAGCAGACAAGAATGAAAGAATGGAGGGACGTTGAGCCGCATTCCCGGTTTACGACTGGCGGAAGACAAGGTCCACAGGAGTGTGACCCAACTATTCAAAGCAACGCAGTGCTACACCAGCAGTTTGCCTTTCAACACACAGCTGCTCCTGCGTGAGTTGTAAGTAACGTTGAAGCTCTTTGAACACTTTCCCGCCGGATTTCCTTTTCAGTAGTTTCACTAGCTTCTCAACAGTTGATATCATCTTGTCTTTTGACACAGAGCTAGGCTATATGTTACAAGGTAACAAGGAGTTGCTTCCTTTTGTTATGCAGGCCGCAGGAAGGAAGACCATCGGGATAGCCGCGATGGAAGGTCGCTGATCCAAGGCGGGGCCTGGGATCACGTGACGTGCCATC